CAGGTGTAAAGCCTCTGATATGGTCTCCCCATTTGCCACTGCAGAATTTGAAGTAAGGCGAACTGCTTTGAGCAAAGCTGTGAAAATGCATGTGAAGGAACATGTGCAGCCAAAATGCTCTCCCTCTCCTAAATGTATACATTTCTCTGGTTGCCAGCAGTGCATACATAGCTGCTGCAGTCAGGTAAGATAGCTTCAGGAAAGCTGGAAATGTAATTTTTTAATGAAAACAATCTGCTGGCTCAGTATAGGCATGTATTATCTCTGCATTGGCAGCTCTGCTGGAGAAGTTTGATAACAGGGCAGTGTTTGATTCTTTGTGCTCTTTTCCCATTCCTGTGTAGCACAGTTGTTTTGCTGCTATTTGCAATACCTTAATTACTCACTGGTAAATATTATTAGGGAACAATTCTTATCCCTTTAGATTTTCAGGGATTTTCTTTGGCTGATTTCCACAGCATCCCTCAAAGGTGTGATGACTCTCTGCTTTTCTGTTCACAAGCAGTGCTATGTTCATCTGTTCTTTGAGTAGCTTAAGAGCAATTCACCTGTGGGACTCCCTGGTTCCTTTGAAGCATGCTCCTTCTGCAGTAAGAATAAGTTTCCCTTAAAAACACTGGGGAACTCAAAGAGAGGGCCAGGTTATGTTTGCTACAGTATTGGTGAGCTCTGACATTGCCACAGGGCTGTGCAGTTGTGGATGCATGGGGGAGAACTGAGCTTTTGGAGGGGAAAATGTCTCTCCAGCTTGCTTGATTTAGAGATGAGGAAGCACCCGGGAACCGGGAGAGGACTCGCTCAGATGCCACCTTCCTGCCACCCCTTAGGGATGGAGATCCTGCAGCTGTCACCTTGAGGGGGAGCTGGGGAGGGAGAGTGGGCTGTATTTGCAGCAGCTTTCTAAGCTCACATCCATGCACAGTCCAGCCACAGGCTGACCCTGGGTAAATAAGCGAGACTGCATTGAGGAAGTAGACAGGGCTTCAAAGACAAGAAGACAGGATGGCACATCATATAGTACTTGTGAATCCGTGTGTAAAATCTGTTAACCAATGTGCTTTCCAAAGGATGCTATTCAGGGAACCAGCAGCCCTAGTGTCCTTGTGCATGGGATTAGAAAAACATAAAGCTCATAAAGTTAATTTTTTGGGGGGGAGTTTAACAATGGTGTAAAAATCATATGATTCATCTTTGTCATGGTCTAGTGTCTCAGTATTGCTTTAGCTGTTTGGCTTTTGCTTGCTATTTCTATTGCACAATCACACTGCTTGTGATTGCACCTGCAGGTATGCACCTCCATGCTAGCCATGTATTTACATGTGCAGGAGAGTGGAGATAATTTTAATAACTACTCCTGTTTAAATGCAGGATAGATATTTTACATGCCCATACAGACCTTTGACTTGTTTTATTATTCACCCTTTGTCTTTTGCTCACAATCCAGATTGTTGTGTGCATTTTCTACAGGCATTGAACACTCCTCATGAACGTGTGTCTTGATTTCTGAGTTAATTTACTGTGTTTCTGCAGATCAGATCTAATTTAAAGGGTGGGCTGAGGAAAGAGCCATGCACTTGGAACAAACATTCGAAACAACTAATAAAAAAGCAGATATAGAAGATTCTCAGTGTGAGTTCTGGTGGCTTAATTGACAAAAATGGAGCCATGCCAATTTTCACTAGCTGAAGATCTGACCTGTTATGTCTATGCTAGATTACGTGCTGTTGAGAGCTAGGTAGCAGCTTAGTATATTAGTCCTTTTGGAAAATCATTCAGTTGTTAGTAGAACTGATCTAAATACTCATGAGTAGTACTGCACTATGCCAATTTTGACCTCTTGGCAAACTGTGAATAAATATTTTATTGATTTCTTTGGATAGACTTAATAAGTATTAATATATCAACATATATATCTTTTGAGACATGAATTATTCATAGCAAGTGTTCAAAAGATCTGAAAAGCAATTTTCTTCTGGGGATGTGCGACTGGCTACATGGGTGACATTGTGTTCTCTCATCCCTGATTGTGTTAGCGTTTTAATTGCTTATTCTGTCAGATGCTAATTTTGAATCTTGATGAGGCCTAAGTGATATTACTAAGTCCATTCCCATTGAGCATTCATCCCTACAAAGCTTCATTTATGGATAAAGAGGTATGAGCCAGAGAAGTGTCAGTCTGGTTTCATTATTTGGGCTGCTAGCTGATAAATGCTCATGTACTTTGATCAGCTTTAGTCATGACTGGACTGGAGACTTCAAATCAACTATCTCCCAGCAAATAAATTCAGGTATGAATTCAATATGAAGGCAACTTCAGTATGAAGTCTTCCATTTTGATTACTGCAGTATTGCATGTACATTAATTTCTTCTGCTGATTGGATAGAAAAGTTAGTTAAGAGGTGTGTTATGCACCTTTATTTTGAAAAGATATGACTCATTCTCCAAATGCATCTATTGCACATTTTAATAAGATTAAGCCATAAGATAAGCCAAGCAGCAGCAGGCAACATCAAGAAAACTGTTTTGTGCCAAAACCATCAGGGAACTGCAAAGCCCTAGGGTGAGTATGACAGCCACACAGCTTAAGGAGCATCTCTGTAGATCCTGTGAGGTGGTGGACTATGAGACTCTGAGAGTTTTGCACTAGTAGAAAGTAACTGGGGAGATCAGTAGTGTGATGGGCAGCACTGGAAAGGGAAGTTACAATTGCCTAATGCTTCTGCTTCTCAGGAATGAGAAGAAAATGTAGTCATACACAGGGGTGTGGGTTCAGGGCGCTTCAATCACTCAGAGCAATGTGGATATGGACAGGCTAACTGAAAGCAGGTGCACAGGGACAGTTAATGCATGTTGCCCTAACACAAGTATTCATTACATGTATATCAACTTGGCCCAGCTTGCCATGCTACCGCATCTGTTGAGGGGGTTTAACATGGTGCATAACCAGTATGTCCTTCCAGAGGTGTCCATGTGCGTATGGAACGTTGAACAGAGAATAAGCTATTGTGGTGACTCAGGACTGCAGCTATTGAAGTGCTTCACAGGGAACCTTGATGACACTGTCTCTCTGCTTCTCTTTCCTATAAGTCTGCCTGCAATGCCAAAACACTAGGATTTTAAAACCAAACTCCATTATTTTTGAATCTCTAAAGAAATAAATGGGCAGGTTCTATTCAGACAATGTTCTCTAATAAATTTTTATTAAGCCTACTGTGACTGTTTGAATGTTTACTTGATTGAAATCTTTTGCTGGTGAAATAGAAGGTTTGTTGTTCTCAACCTGGCAATCAATCTCTAAAATCACTATAAAAATGACATCCCAGGAAAAGGAGCAAAAGCAAATAATTTTTTGGGGAAAACATTTCAAGTTTCTTACCAAACAGTTTAAAATCCAAGTGAAAAGCTAAAGCTCCACTGATTTATATTAAGGCTGATATTGGTTGTGCACTTACAAAAGCCCAAAATACTTCATTATGGAAAGTAATTTTGAAGGTATGCTTTAAATAAGGCATCTTTCTGCTGCCATCAAGTATAAATTATAAACAAGAATAAACATTGGGCTGAGAGCCCATCTTGTGTCTCATCAGTGCTCTAGACTGACTATAAGCTTTTTTTTTCAGTGCCTGCTATTCGTCACCTCACAGATACTTTGAGATATATTACATTTATGTATAAACAAGTGATGAAAACCTCTGCACTCCAAAATAAACTGATTTTTTTCCCAGCTACATTTTCTAAGATTCAAAGTGACTTCAGCTTTGGCTTAGACTTGTTTATTTTATATTTGTGTTGCAATGCTATTAAATGTCTTATACATGAATATTCCACTGTTTCGACACTGTGAAAATGTTTTTGTCAAATCTAAGCAACTGAAGACTAATGGAATGCTTTTGAAAATTGATGCCATGGGGTTATGAGGAATTTAACCTCTTTTCAGTCCACAGCAAAATCTAATGAGTTTCTGCAGAATGAAAACTGTACTTACTGGGCTTGTGAGAACTTTCAGTTCCTTGAATGGGATATGCTACAAACAATGAAAACATCACTTTTATTGATGACATAGGTATTAGGAAATTATTTTGGTTAATCCTGGATCAGCTTGGTTCTCTGTTTGTTTAACACTCCAAACTATCCATCAAAGCAGAGGTTCAAATACTAAGATTTTTCTCTCTTGTCAGGAAATTGAACCAAGCTTCTGTATTTGGGGAAATCTGTTAATCCTTCCTAAAACCTCATACTTTAGAGAGAAATATTATTACAAGAAAATATTGCTTACCTCTGACAGTGCAACAGTTGTAATGTGAAAAATGGAAATCCTTAGAAAAATGATGCATCATTTTGCCTTGGACTTTATGTAGTCTTAGCCAGATTGTTCAGACAGTGCTCTGTGGTCAGTGGCAGCAGCTGGTTTGACCAATGACACAGTCAAAATTCTTTTAAAAAACTTAGATAGGCATTTCTCTAAATGCTAGCATTATAAAAGATATAAAGACAATGACACTTTGATCCTGCGCTCATGGAAGATGCTGACGAAGCTGTCACTGACCTTGGTGCTGAAGGAGCAAGTTGTTTCCTTTTATAACCTCCAAGCGTTTGGTAAAAGCATTTGATCAATCCTGCCGCCACTATGTGGAGTAATTGTTAATCTTGATGTTAGATTTAAATGCACTGAGGTGAAGCAATTAATTCAAGTTCTGTGGTGATTGTGCACTGAAGATAGACAGTGCTCAGTTGCTGTCCTCTGATCTAATCATCAAGAAATACTCTTCTCCCTTCATTGACAAGAGATTTTGAAAGACATCTTGCAATCTTGGATCAACCAGTATTGTGAATTAAAGATATTTTGACTTATGTATTATGGAAATATATTAGGTATGTTCAGTGTGCAAGCTCACTGGACACGCAGTATTTGAACAACTTGTTCCTGTTTTGCCTAAACTGTGAATGTCTTTCAATCCACAGCTGTCATTTGGCCAACCCTCTCCCTCCAGTAACTTACAACTTTCAATTTCTAGTGTGCAATTTTGTTCATCCAGAGGATATCTGCGTAGATCCATCATGCAAGCAGCTGTTGTTGTGATCCTGAAAGAGGAGGGTGAAAAAAAATCAGATTTGAAACCACGTTTTACTTGTTTGAAAAGGCAAAATCTTGTATAGTGGCTTTTCTGTGTGTTTAAATACAGAATGGTTATGCACATGGATTCCTGACACACAGGCTTTACATATCTTGTAAAACATGGTTAAATAATTTACACAGCACAATATACAGTATAACGCATCCTGGCATATGCTAAATACCATAGAACAGAATTTTGACTGAAAACTTCATGTGCTAAAGTGTTCAGTGTTTCAAAGAACATTTAGTGAAATTTCTACTTGGACATCTTATTTTTGATGCCCTTAATTCAGACATATTCAAACTGTTTTGCAAAATATTTATAACTTGGACTGCTGACAATTTTCTTTGTTAATTTTGTTGTCACCTACTGCTGTTATAATTTTGTTTGATAGGTACGTGCATTTTCATTCATGCTGTGGAAATATTGGTAATATATGATTATTTTTATGGTTTCATAAACAGTTTATCATTAACTGTGATAATTGTACATTATCTCTTAAAAATGGCAGGATGCTATCAAACACTTGTGAAATACAATATTATATGATGGTTGCTTGATGAACATTGAGAGTAGCATTGAGATCTTCCAGATCTTTGCTCCTTCTAGAGGGCATGTGAGCTGATATTCAGTCCCTGAAGATATTCTTCATAGCCTAAGCCTTTTTATAAGTCTGTGCCTCTCCTCCTGTTGCATTGTAAATCACAGAGCATCTAAGCAAATACTTGCTGTTAAGCCCATACTCCTTGGGAGAAATGTTAAGTGACTATGTGAGAACAATGGTCAAATTATAGATTCGTTTAAAGATCCATTTAAGAAAGACACTCACAGTGGTGTTTTCAAACTCAGACCAGTAAGTTATCACCTGCATTTGCCTTTTTTTTGTGATAGAAGTGTTCTTAAATCCTTATAAAACTCCTGTAGCTGTGAATGGGCAAACTTAGCTTGCAATTTTATTGTTCTCTCTCTCTCTCCCCCCATCAATTCCTACCTGAGGAAGGCAAATAACCTATTTTCTTGATCTGGATTTGGTCCTGGTCCTCCAGTTCCATGTCAATTGATGCCACAGGAATGCATCTAGAAATTTTATTTTTGGTGTGCTAAAAGCCAAGCACGCTTGCATCTGTATTGGCGTTATAATGTTTGCTGGCACAGAACTGACATAATTCAAAGAAAAAAAAATGCCACATGCTTCATTACTGTGACATTCTTCAGATTATCTTAAGACTACAAAATCCATCTCTCTAGCTGCATATAAGGAACATCTAGCAAGTCCATAAAACTGCTCTAGAATACTGTAAAGTACCATGGAAATGGTATATTTTTGCTTTTCCTTAGGCTGATTTGCATGTGTCTTAACAGGTTTTGCATTTGTCGTAGAAAAGGTCAGGGGCATTAGCAGAGGTAGGACCTCATTTAATTCAGCCATGTACCAAATATACCTTACTGAGAAGATGTGCAATAATCATTTGTCAGATGGCTACTTAGGAATCCTTAAGATCACACATAGCAGTATACTAACATTAGTCACAGTTAAATGCTTTTAAATGAACGTTTCATAGAGCAGTGTTTTGTTCCCAATTAATAAGTTGATCTTTATGGTAATTTAGTTCATCTATATCAACCAGATTTATTCATGTGTATCCAGAAGTAGAAGCTGATATAGTGTTTCTTAGACCATGGAATTACAGTGGCCAGCTATTTCCTAAAAGCCAGCATATCTGTACTGCTGACTTCTGCAGTTTTGCACATCCCACATAAGCTACATAGAAAATAGTAATTTGTTGCACTTTATAACATCAGTGCAAATTATTTGTGCAGCAGCAAATTATGCAATTGTTGCATACCTGAGATCTAAATATTCTACATTTTTTTTTTCCTGTAATTCTGACAACTGTATTGTCTTCTCTCAATTTGTGCAGATTTTGGTGCACTGGTTAGTTTGGTGTGACTCATCACTACTATAATCTAAGAACAAAAAATGAATGTATGTGTGACTAAGACACTGCATTGCTAACTGGGGGTGAGGTCTGGAAGTATTTGTAGTATGCAGAAGAAAGATAATAAAACCTCTAGTACTGATTTCTGGTTGCAGTAAGTGATATGAATCTAACTAGCTTGTGGATTGGTAATTTCTCATCTTTCATCCTTGTTAAATCACTCCTTGTCTCTATGCTACAAGGAAAGGTAAAACAGAAGCACTTGATCTATGTTCTCTGCTTCCCTCAGCTCTGTTTTGCATTCCCTATAGGGCCTGTAAGGCAGTCCCTGTACTTTGAAGCCAGTCTACATACCTTGAGGAAAGTCAAAGGTGGTGGCAGTAAGCAGCTTTCCATCTCGTGACTCTTTTAACCTCTTAGCAGCAGTGCTGAATGCTACTGTCGCTCTCTGCTGCAATAGCAAGCAGTTGCTTTCAGGGAAGAGGGGAATGACAGGGTTTTAGCTGAAGTTTGCAGAGATGAAAGCTGCACAACATGAGATGGGAAAGACAGCTGGAGACTACTATCTAGCAGGCAGTGGAGGGTGGCTGTCAAGAAGCTTGGAGTTTGTGGTTTCCAGCAGCAGGAGAAAGGATCCTGTTTCACTTGTAGACCCACAACTGTGGCACCAGTACAGTGTCCCAGGCAGCGGGGATGATGAGCAGCATTTGCCTAAGGATTTTTCCAGAGCCAGTTGTGCCTGACCTGTGTCTAGTGTGAATGTGAAAAGGCAGGCAGGAGAGGGAGTCACCAACCTACTAACACAGTGTGGTGCCTCCTAAAGCTGGAAGCACTTAAACTTTATTGGGAATCTTAATCTTTCTGGAAAACAGCTGCTTGTAATTGCAGTAGGAGTGCTCTAGGATCTATCAACATTCATTACCTGTAGTTCATAAATCTGCATTTCAAGCATTTCTTTCTCCCTCATGATAGATCTCAGCTGTGTAAAATTTTTAATGCTCTGGATAACCACAAAACTTGTTTAAGGACATAAATTAAACTCAGATTGCTGTCTCAATTAAAAAAACAAAATCAGGTCTTTTATTATAAATAGAATAAAATCCCAAACCTGTTACTGGCTGCACTGTCTCAGTGCAGACAATAACTGATGGCTTGCACATGCACCAGAAGCTTAAAAATGAAGACATTCAAATGCAGAATACATCAAAGGCTGTAATGGCAGGAAGGGGAATGGAATAGTCTGAAGATAGGGCAAAGCTGCAATAAATCTGTGTTCAGGAGGATTAGTCCTGAAAGTCCCTGGGCGCAAGTAGCTTGTGGAAATGGTGAAATATCATGAGGCTCTGTAAAAGTTTAAGTGGAGGACTAATCTGACACTTGAAGCAGAGCTATTTATATCTCAGAGTAGGATATGCTTCTTCCAGGCTTTTCATTCTTAAAATATGTTTTAAGTTCCAGTATTGCAGCTAATTTGTTTTGTCTGTACAGTGCCTTTTACCCTGTGATCCTTACATTCTTTAGATTCTTTTGAATCTAACATATAATTTACAAAAACTGAAAAATATATAAACAAATGATAAAAATGGGATTACAAAGAAGACAAGCAGTTTGGTGGAAATATATCATTATGGTACTTCATTTGCTTCATGTCAGTACTCAGACATACGGAAATGGAGTGAAGTCTGCCTCGCTAACAGGCAGGATAAATAACATTTGCAAAAAAGGCAAAATTAACTGGTTTTTGGTTTTTGATTTTATTTGGCTTGGAGTTCATGTTATGTGATCCACTGCTTAGCTTTCATTTTAATGTCTGACTCTCTGAATACTGTATTCTTACTCTATAGTCAAGTTATTTTTAGCCATAAATTATATGAAAGAAAACAGTGATGTCTGGTATGTACAAAACTGCCTTCCTTAGGTAATACTGTCAGAGGTTTCTCTGCAGGGCAGCAGGTCTTGTAGGAGTGAATGTTGAAGAGTATTTTGGGTTAAGTCCTCAGTGAGCAGCTAAAGTAAGTTCAGAATGAATGCAGGAAGTGGAGTTACAGTTCAGTACTGAGAGCGTTTAATCAAAATGCTGTCAAAAAGCTGTGCCTCAATTCTTGAAGTAGAAATAGAAGCAGTGTTTAAGACAGCAATGACAACAAAATGTGGAGATGATCAGAGTGAAACAATGCAAATTCTGTTGTGAAATGTTTCCTTTATTTGGAGGACGGGTATCAAATTTTAATATGTTCATTCTTTTTTCTCTCAGTCAACAGAGCATAAATTATAAATGTATATGAAATTATGAAGTTATGAAGTTATTTTTTTTTTCTTTAAAGCAAAATAAAATCTTGAAATCAAATAAAGAATTACCATGCTTCTCTTAACCACTGCAGGGCTGGAACTCCAGTACACACTGGAAATAGGCTTTCATATCCTAAACCACTGATTTTATGAAACCAGTGTTAATTTAGCTTCAGTGGTATCAGGGAACTTAATCCCATAGCAACTGTTTGACATCAGAACCCAGTCCCATATCCCTGGTGTAATTTGCATAATTTTTTTGGAACTGGGAAGAACCTTGAGGTTTAAGATTTAATGGGATGTCTTTTAGGGAGAGTTATTGAAGGAGCAGAGGAAGGCAGAAAAAATGTACATTTGATGGCAGAAAAAAAGGTGCATTTAATTGGCATTTTTTTCATTCTGTCCATGCCATGTACAAGGTTTACACTTGTCAGGCATCTTAACACTGTAAATTTCCAAGCAAAGCCTGAGTGCTTGACCCTGGCAGAAAATGTCAGCTCTGAATCTGCAAACATGCCCAACTTGTAGTGCTTGAAAGAGACGATTTACAGGCTGTACATTTGAGCATTAGCATTATTTGAGTTAGTAGTGTGTATATTATATAATGTAGTGTGTACTTGGGAAATCTATGTTTGACAGTCTGTGTATTGCTTATCTGATCAAATCCTATTAAAAAGAAGTTACAAGTGTTAGTAAAATTGAGAAGGGCCAATAGGTGAATAAATAACATTTTCACAGATCTCAAATGGAATATTGGGTCCTGAGCTAGATACAGTAAAAAATGTAGATACTTAGTTTTAGATATGAGTACATCAGCAAGTAGAAAACAATTTTTTTTTTAGATTGGAAATTATTATAATCTGACTATTTGTAAAATTTAGTTATATTTTGGCTACTTTTTAATGTGTTTTTTTCTTTTTTTATATCTTTGACTCTAGGGAGGCAAACTGTCAACACCTAGGTCATTGCTGTGGACTACATATTTTGAGATAACACTCAAGCTTATAAGGAAAGCTTTTGTGTGGATTTAGGTTAGCAAGTACCACACACATTTCCCTTTAATGTTGCTCAGAGAAACAGCAGAGTTGCATAAACATGAAAAAATAAAAAGTGTGTTGAAGAAGATGTGTACAGAGAAATATAACATTCAAAGAGATAAAGCTGTAAGCAGCTGAGAACCAGGTCTTGCTCAAGAAGGGCCCAGCAACCTCTCTTATACTGGTTAGTGACCGGTTAAGTCACGCAAAGATGAAGACAGGAAAAATGTGTCAGGTTGATTTAACATGAATCATTTCATCAATTATGCTCACTGCTGGGCCCCAAAGATGGCACCACCTCTGAAGAGAATATTGATGATGAAGGACTGATGAAGGCAGTGCTAGCACACAATTAATTTTGTCATGTTATTCCATTGCCAGTGTTATGCACCAGTGAATTGCCAAGGTCAACCCATTGCTGGTAAGCTGCTTGAGCTTTGTTTCAGACAGAAGTACTGGAAGAGTCAAAATGCTATTATTAAATAATCTTTCCTGTTAATCATGGTAGTACAGCCTAATCCTGTGGGGTATGCTCAATATGTCTTAGGCAAATGCGAGCCACTGACTTAATGCACAGTGTGACATCCGAGAGAAAGAATGATTTCCAAGTGAGTTTTTATATGTCCAGACAGTTACCAGGTCTGATGCAGAGGATGTTGGCTTACAGTAAGCATGTGCCTAGTCTTGCAATTTCAGTTTGCTTCTATTAATATTCTTTAACATAACCCAGGCGCTAGTTTCTTACATTGCTTTTGTGCCTACAAAGCTATGCAGTGAATGGTGTCTTTTTCACTTAATAAAAATCATGAGTTCCCTAAGAATACCTGGTAGTTTGGTGGTGAAGGGAAGGTAAAGCAAGAAATCAGAAATAATCTGAAGCTCTTCCCAAGACGCCTGCCCTTATTCATTGCTGAGGACAAGATAACAGGCTAATGGGCCTTAGGTCTGGCATTTTGTCAGAATTTTTAATGTTCTGACCTGTGACCAAGTTAACTTAAGTGGAGGCCTACCCCTCAGCACTTTGTAGTCCATCTCAGGCTATTTGTCATTCCCCGAATCCTTTCTTTCCTACTCACCCAGCACATTTATATGGGTAGCCTGCATGTGCAATAAGTGAGTTTGAGGTAGTGCTTCTCAGGGAAGCAAGGTCTAACGTCCTTCACGTGATCTAATATACTCTAGAAAATGGGTGAAAATAGTCCACACTTCTACAGGAATTACAGTAGTACAAAGCAAGACTGGTTGCAAAAGAGGAACATGTATCCATGATATTTCACTCCTGTATGCCCAGGAAATGTTTTCTGTTCCAAATACTTGATCTAGTCTGTTACACCTGTGCACAAATGGTGGCACTGTTAGGTCTTTAGAGCTCTAGTTATGAGTGTTTCTGCTGAGTTACACATGACCTGAAGTTTTGAAAGGCAAGTAGAAGTGGGCGCAGTGCATTGTAACATGTTTAGTGTGCATGGTAATGATTTTTTTTAAAAGCCTGAGTCACTGGATCATGTACACAGATGAGATGTGGTCATAGTTACAAAATATCTGGAAAAAAATTCAAAACTTAGCTGTCTTTTAGATATGCGCAATGGCAAGACGTGCAAAATTAAAAAGGAGAGCTCTTGGACTTGTGCATTGTAGATTCATTTATGCCTTTGTAAGCAAGCTTATGATGGTGTCAAACTGAGTCACTGGCATTTGGTGCTGAGTTGGAGCAGGTGTAAGTAACTAATGCGTGCTACAAAGCTCAAGAGCTGCAGCGCTGTATCTTTATCTCTGGCAATTTCAGACTTCCAGGATGAATGAACTATTAAAGACTACAGCAGGAGATTCAGTTTTGTGCTACCATCTATTTAAGTGTAAATATTCTTTTGCTGGACTGAACTGACTTTGAGTTTGAAACCGGTTATCCATCTGCTATTCATTCCTTTTTACCCTCTTACAGGCTGTATTTATTGTATTTGTTATTTTTATTTACTTTGATTTATAATTATGAAGGTGTGTTTGCTGGAAAAGGTCACTTGTGGTCTTCCTTTAAGGATCCCAGGTTCAGAAATTTCTGGTTGGTGTGGGTGGGCCAGGCTCTGGCATGTCAGGTGTCAAGGTGAGAACCTGATGGGAAGGGTTCATTACACTCCTTCACTGTCTGCATTATGTTAATTCCGAGTTTATTCAGTGATCTCCATTGAAATCTATCACTACACTATCATGCTCAGTGTATTTTAAAATTTGAGTTGGGCTAGCAGCTGGTGATATGAAGGTAAGTTGTTGAGTCAGTAAAAGAAAGCTGAGTATATTAAACACTAGCTTAACGGGCACTGGGATATTGGGAGTTGGACTAGATGACCTTTGAAGGTCCCTTCCAAACCAAACTATTTTATGATTCTATATTTATCCCTGCACATGACGGGGTTCACAATGAATCCAATCTTTAAATGTAGAGACATGCAAAGTACCTAACACTGCAATACATAACCTAACACAGTAACATCCACTTGTAAAGATCTAGAAATAGAAAAAAAAATCACTAAAATGTTCTAATGTAACTTCTTAAATATTAGCAAAAAAGTTCTCTTTCTTTGGTGCTTGTAAGCCAAATTTCAGTGCAATGAGAATTTTTACTGCACAGCTATGAACCCATGAAAATAAATTTTAGAATATAAATCCAAAGAGAACTATAACTATGCCAGGGCAAACAAGATGCTTCAATAGAAAGTGCCTGAAAGCTGGAGCTGAAATTTACTGCAAAAAGTAATTTAGCTTGACAGTGCAAGTATGTTGCAAGCCAAAAGAAAAAGCGAGTAAGCTAGATGGGATGTGCTTAGCATAAAGGAAGGTCCAAGAGGGAAGTCAGATAACTGGGTTTTAAAATTTTAAAAATGGTGCTAAATTTGTAAGTCGTTAAGTATCTCTATACAAACCTTCTAAAAGTGACTAAATATATGATGTTACTACTGAAATTCCTAGATGGAAGTAATATCTACAGACTGAAATATCCTACTCAGGAGGGAACAGAGGTTTGCTGGATGGTAGCAGTGATGTTAGTGTCATTTGGTATCTTCATCTTTTGGGTTGTTTGTTTTGTTATTGTTTATTCCAAAATAAAACCGAACCAGACACCAAGCTATGTGTTGTGTGTGTGTGTGAAAGATAGACATATACATATTCAGATGTCTCCGCCTTCTTTGGTAGAAAAAGAATCTAGGCAGTATCATCCACACCCAGCCTGGTTTGTAATTGAAAGGCTTTGGGATGTGCTTGGTCAAAATAACTGGTGAAGAATGGCTTGTTTCTGGGACCAGACATACTTCATATTGACCCATTGATATCTTTCTTGTAACCAAGGAAGATCCTTCTGGATTTTGGAAGCAGGGGTGAGGCTGGAAGAGAGTGCTGTCATTTCCCTGTAGGTGCTGTGTGACTCTTCAGGAACTGGGGGTTCTCATGTAGCTACTACATGTCAACATTACTTGTATCAGTGCATCTCAAACAGAAGCCTGCAGTTACAGGAGGAAAGCAAGGATCAAAACAATTTCTTGCTTCCATATTTCTTGCCTTCTTCCGATGCCTGGCCTGTTGGGTTTTCCAAGATGGGGGAGTCTGCTCCTTTTCCAGTGGTTGTAGCTTTATTATGCACTGGCAAAATGGGCTAAAACAGTGGCTTCAGTATTAAACAAACTTGGCTGAGAGACATAGAGATCTAGTGGTTTTAGATGAAGAGAAATGAGGTGTTATAAGCTTTCATGGGTGACATGGAAACTCCTTCATAGTTGAGAAGCTTAATCTTGTTTTGATTTTGCAAAACACATGTAAGAAACAGAACGGTTTTGAACTGGTATGTCTTCTGACTCTCTGTTATGCTGCTATTATTACTGACCAACACCTGTGTGGGCCAGCAGAAAGGGCAGGGCTCTGAGAGACCAACTGGGAGTACCTGGGGAAGTATTTGCCTCTTTTTGTTGGTTGTGTTTGGCTCCATGTCTATCTTCTTCTGGAACCAAGAACTGAGAGGGGAGCTGGCTTTGAAAAATATAGCAGAGAAGGTAGATAAGTGCTGAACTTCTGTGGGTTTTGTGAAAATGGGTGCCTGGCCAGTCCAAGTGTCTGTTTGGGAGGAAGGAACAAGGAAGAGGAATATAATAACTAATTAATTACAGAGAAATTTGACTTGAGATTTTTAGGACTTCATGTTTCTATGTTGTTTGAAACTATAGTCCCTCCTCCTAAGAGTATACAACAGAGAGGGAAAGCAGCATTTTTTATAGGGGGTCCTGTGGGGAAAAAAATGATAGGTAAGAGACAGGAGGAATCGTGATGCAAAGGAAAAGAGGCTTCCACTTGAATTTGTGGTTAGTTTTATGGTCGCATTTCTTTATAATGGGCTCACCTACAAAATCTATTAATGACATGTATCACCCAGGAAAGATTGCAATAGCAGGATGAAATGGCTTCTTACAATATGGCATTGTAATGCTTCATATTTGTAACTGACTCTAAGATCTAATACTCACTAAAATATGATTTTACTACTTACAGAGAAAATCTTAAATTATCAAGCCTTTACAGACCATCCAAGCAATTCTTATTCTAAAGTGTGATTGATTTCTGAAGGTTTTTCTCAGGTCTCTTGTATTTAATGTTTTCCCATGTTCTCCCATCCTGACCAGAGAGTAAGCACACCTCATTTGTTCCAAATAGGTTGTTGAATGTGAAAGCTAATAATTCCAGTCAGTGAAGCTGGCAGCATAATTATGTCTTGAAACATATGTTGTGAGGAAATGTGAGTGCATCTGAAGCTGAGCTTGGTTAATCTACCATGTACAATGACTAATTTTATTGGAGAACTGAAAGTAAAATGAAACTCTTGCACTAGGACCTTAATGAGAGGATCTTTGCCAAAATATTGACCCTGCTGGCAGAGTAAAGCATGAACGAAGAAATTTGATTGCCTTTTTGCACACCCATGACTTGGAAGGAATGCTGATGTGATTTTTGTGTAGGAAACTGGTTGATGATCGTGCCCTGTCACTGGATCTTAATTGGAAAACAAGATAAATCGGAGAAGAAATTAATGCTTTCATAGCATGAGACCCAAGACTGATTCTGTGACAGTGAATCAGTTTAAGGCATGCATTACTTCAAAGAGATTTCTAGTTACAACATCTTATTAATTCCCATAACTTTTTAAATGAGCATAATTTAATTATAACATTGAAATAACAAAAACATTCTGCTGTCCCCAGTTTATTCCAATACAGCTTTTCTGTAGTACTTATGCCTTATTTTGCTTTGTGAATTGCACTGCTAATTCCATTAAATATAGCAATAAAAGTTATACCCTGTCATTCATTTTGATTGGAAAACAAGATTTGGGACACAGTGGGAAAGAAAGGATCTTTGGGTTGTTGTTTGTACTACTGCAACTACTGCCTCATAATGTTTCTTTCATAACCTGACCAACATGTTTCTTAAAATACTTCAGAGCAGTAGGGCAAAATATTTAATAGCAAGTTTTTGGGGAACCACATTTTTCTGATAGTTAGTCCTCTGATTTGCAGTCTGAATTGATTTATGGCTGGTGTGTACCCCTTTGCCTTTGAGATAGTATTGTCCTGCAGCTTAAACAGCACTTTTCCCTAATGTTTTTCCCCTTTCTGGACAAGTAAATCTCTCTTCAGTACTTCTTTTGCTGGGTGAAAAAAATTTCTCTGTCCTTGTTGAGTAGACGCATGTCCTTTACCAGCTGCATTAGCACTAAATGAAGAGGTTACCATCTTCTAGTTTATCCCCATTCTCTGAAAATTAAAATCCATTATTATCTACCAACAGAGCTACTGATGTGGAAACACCTTGAATAGTCTTTGTGAATCTATTTTTGTTAGCTGGTAGTTAAATTGGGTAAGGTGGTAACTAGCTCACAGCGACCAAAATAGATTAGGAAGTGTTCACCAAAGTGACCTTAGTTAGCATCTATGAGAGAGATGTAATCTCTAGCAGAGAAATGGTTATGGGAGTAGACTGGGAGAGATCTTAAATCAGCACAGTTTAGTTTAGGAGAGAATGTAAGTGTACATATGTGGGCTTATCTGTGTGAGTTTAATTTGAGCTTGTCCTTTTCACCCAGTTCAGCTGGGCTTGCATAAGATAGAGCACGTTGACAAGCCCCAGAGAGTGAGAAGCTTAATTATACTTAGAGCATTTAGTTTCTCCTGACTGCCAGCACTGATGAGTCATATGCAGATTTCTTTGAAAAGAAAATTGGGTTTGTGCCAAAGAGATATTTTTGTCCTAAAAGATCTGATAACTAAACCCAATATTGATAATTTTGAACTGGTGTGGTATGGATATTTTGTATTTGAATGTGGTGGTGGGGAGGGAATGTTTTCACTGTTTTTGTCTTTCAGTAGCAGTAGTTGTTTTACAAGGTGGGTAGCAGTTGTGAATGCCAAAAATGTTTTATGGGAAAGAAAAAGGCATAAAAATTGTAAGCTGTTCTACAGCAGTATACATATATTCACTTGTTTAACTCTATTTGTATTTTAATAGGAGAGAGAACAACTTACTCCATTGATGCTTTGTCCTGGTTTATTTGTTTTTAGACTTCATTTATATTAAAAATGAAATGTCTTTTTAATTGTAAATAATACTCGGTGCTGTCTTATACTCACTGAATGCTGTGTGCACCAGTGATCCAGCAGACTGATGTATAGTTGTATAGCATCTTGAATGTACATCTGTCACTGCTTCTCTGTAACCTGAACATCCCTCATAAACAGAGCACATGGCTTGTTATAAAGAGTGTTATTTCATGAACTAAATATATATTTTATAATTTAAAGAAATGTGTATGTCCTATAGATAATATACTTCTATAAATGCTTTCCCCATATATTGGAACACCATATGTTGTCTATTTGATTTTTTTCTCTAATTATTTAAATTTCATTTTTATTCCGAAGCTTGCACATTACTTTTAAAAGTTTCATAATAAGATTGTCTGGTCACCCAAGTTACGTATTCAGATCCCTTAGTTATTCTGATTTCTCCTTGGCAGAGCACATTTTTCAAATGGATGCAATACAAGAGACTTGGAGAGGTGGACCTGTTTATGTAGGAGAGTAAAAGCTCCAAGTAAGTACTTAAAGTTCAGGTTGCCCATTCCATGCCTTAACATGCAGTATAGAAATATTGTTTGATAGTTAGCATTTTATAGGGCTGGGAGGTTGTAATGAAGACTGCTAATTTGTATCTGAAATTCAGGAAGAGGTATGAATGGAATCTCATGATACCTTACATACTCATTTTGACTGTAGAACTACATTTAGGATACTTGTATAGAAAGGCTGGCTAGACAACAGGTGATTTTTCACTAAAATCATGAATGTTAGGTGTGTTCTGAATGATGGTGCAAATACTTTTGTCAAGATGCATTTCACATGCACTTGTGAAATGTAAGGAAGCTGAATGTTATATGAATGTGGGGATGTATTAGCTATTGTCTCTTCCAGCAGAGATAATAAAAGCCTTGATGAAATAAACAAAGTAAGTGTATTTTATGAACCAAAGCCATGAGCTGAATAAGCACATGACTTGGCTTCCTCAGCTCCTTAGACAGCAGGACAGGTAGTATTTATGTACATTTGAGAGTTTCCTTGCTGAGCCTCTGCTGTTGACCTATATCAGGCCTTCTTGTCACCTTTCTCCTCCTACCTTGATAAGCTTTAATGTTCTGCAAGCTTGGAGTCTGCAAGCTTTTGTTCTCTCCAAGAAACACATCTGCATTTATTTCTGCAAATAGTTGACACATAATCCCTCACAGTCAGTATCTGTTATTGTGCTTGTTTCTTCCATCTTTAGCTTTAAGAGCACGGCATGACTCTGTTTAATGCTTCTGTGCCTTTATTTATGCAGTGCTCATGAGGACAGAATAAGCAAAAATCTCATCAAATGATAGAGATGTTTTTTACCATAATGTTAAAATACTGAACTGAGATTGAAGCTTATACAAGCAGATTTATTTTCTGCTCAAGTTGTCTGACTCATTAAGGAGAATTTTCTGATAAAATCAGGTTATTTAGGATGTTTAATTCTCACTTTGGGCTGTTTTGTCACAACCTTGCTGTATTGTGTGGCTTCTTGGAGCCCCAAGAAGTGGTTGGGTAATTTTACTTGGTTTTTGTTTGGTTGTTTTATTTTTATTGCGAGACAAAAGTGAAATAGAGTACGATGATGTTGCTTGAGTCCTCTATTGTATTTTCTTCTGGATTTCATAGTTCAGAAGCTTTCCCCTGAAATGTTTTAATGATGGAAACCATCATAAATTACATGGGCATTTTTTCAAGATGCTAATGAAAATGTTGAAAGCATGGAAGACATCATGCCAACCTGTAATGTTTTGAAACTCTCATTCTTCCACTTTCCATTCTCTATAAAATTTTTGCTAATATTCCCATGTTTAGTAGCTAAATAACATGTTATTGCTAAGGCTAAGGCTTAATGTTTGGGCAAGCCTAAAGAAAAGGTGCTCTAGTAATCTACAGCTTTGATGATTGCTCAGTGGATTATCATCAACTCGATTTTCAAATAGCAAGATGGCTTACTTCAGACATCAGTGGCTCCTCTCTTACCCCCAGCAGATCCAGCTGCAAAATAAATATGTAATTTATGGGGGGGGAATTGCACTTTGGATTTATTCCTTTTTTTTGTTTGTTTCAAAGTCATTTGAGTGTGAGTTCTGCGGATGGACAGGCTTAATGCTGCTTGCCCTTTTCTTTGCCTTCTCCTGCGGGCTGTAAATGGTTCACTATAGGAGCTATCACACTGTATTCAAATTCCATACCGGTTACTCAGTGATTTCATAAAAGGATGTTTTTTCCTTGAACGAACACTTTATTTTTGTATTGAAGGAAGGAGCTGGCAACCTTTCCAGGAGAGGGACTCAAAAATGGGTTTGGAAATGTTGTATTTTAAACTTTATATATTGCAGCTTCTACTCGTTTAATACATTTTCCTGGGCCTAATTTAAGGCTGCTTGGAAGGAGGATTATTTACATATAGATTTTACTTTTTGTTACATTTACCCAAAATCAGTGCATGCCTGGCATAGTGGGAAGAACTATGATAAGTTTTTTTTTTCCTTTGATCTTTCAACTCCTTTTGCTATGGCCAGGGCTGTCTCTTTGAGTATGCTAATAGCTATTCAATTTGGCAAACAATACCTTGCTTATACTGATAGAATTTCATGCAGGTGACTGAGTATAGCAGAAAATTGACTTATTCCCCATGTGGGTGAAAATTTATGGACAGTGCTGTGCAGTATTCAGGGAGCTTTACTTATAATCTTGTGGGCATGTAGACCTTTGATTTTTTTTTTTCAAGAAAATGCTTTGATATTTTCACTGGATTCTTAAAAATAAACCTGACATTTTGCCATTAAGAAATAATAGAAAAAAAGGAATTAGAAATGGAATAAAAGATCACTAGTGAGAAAGCTCATATATATATCAAACAGCTATCAGCTCAGTTCTCATAAAAGACAGAAACTCCCATTGCCATTGAGAAAATATTTCCAGTGAAGCAGGCACTCCACCACTGACATCTCAATCTTGAGCTTATGGGAGATGTACAAAACATCCTCAAAGATGTATCTGGAAACTAAGCTTTACGGCTGTACCATTCATAATGGGAAGAGCAAAATGATACAGGTACAAAATACTTGTGAAAAAAGCTGCTGCTTATAACCTCAGGTAGTTTAATTGCACAGAGCTCTGAACTTGGTTCAAGTCTGTACTTGGTGGAACAGAGGAGGTAGCCACCACAGTATGAGTTGAATATTCTATATGGGTTTTGTCAGGAAAGAACATTCTGATGGATCTGTGAGTTCAGAGCAATTGTTCTAAAATGTACCTTACCTGAAATTTCTTGCTTCGGTTTGACCTGAACGGGAGCTTTTGTGCCTGAAAACTTCCCTGAAAGCCTATCTTATTTTTTTTGCAGTTAAATTAGATGGTGCAATGAAAATGTTATTCTTCCATAAAAAAGATTAATTTTGGCTTTTTTCTTTTCCTGAACTCCTGAAAGTCTTTTAGTAGGTTTTGGTTTGGATTTGTTCTGTCTTGGCTGCTGTTGCCTGTTGGGGTTGTTTTTGTTAATCAAACTTATAAATCTAATTTTGTTTATGGCATCTTTAATGATAGCCACACAGATTACCTGCTGGTTTAGTACCTTTATATTTAGTACACAGGCTGTCTGCTTGAATCTTCATGCATTTACAAGAATTAGGAATATTTTAAAATATTTTAAGAATTTAAGTAATGCCAAGCATTTGTTATGCAGAGAAAAAATCTTTTTCTCCCATGTAGTGATTTTCTTACGAGAAATTAACCATTCAGTCACTTTAAGGATGGTAATATACCATATGTAGAGTAATTACTGAAACACCTGTGACATACCTTCAAAGCAAATCTCTTCTCTTTGCTTCTTTTCTAAAGGCAGTCCCAGCAGAGGGCTCCCAGGTAACATTGAGAAATCTTCACTACTCAATGCACACCAGTTGCCCACACTTGGATGATAGCTGTGTGCTTTAAAACTTGCTAGAATTTGAGATTAATTACTATTTAGAGTCTTATTTTCTTTCTTTCTTTTTTTTTTTTTTAAAGCATTGTGTTTAAGGAATACTTTAGTCGCTAAAAACTTTTGGCTCATATTAGTGTGTTTCAGTGGGAATTGCTATTCCTTGGATCCAAAGGTAGATGGTGAAAAGCTGAATTTTTTGCCTTGGATCTTTCACAAATCTGGCTGCTATAGGTCTTGTGCCAATTAACACCGTCTAACAACAAGAGGGAGCTTGGAATTCTTATGCATTTTAGTAGTGTTCTGCAAACAGATTGTGTATCCTGTATCAAGAAGAGGCAGCACTAATTGTATTATTAAGAGCAGAATTATCAGTCCCATTTAATAAAATAATTTAAAAATTGATATACCATCCTAGAAATCTGCCCTAAAAACATACAAACCAGCTATAAAATTAGTGCTATTTTATTTCTTGCAGTGAAAATCTCAACAGTTGGAGACAAGTCAGCCATTAGCCAGCTGTATTTCAAAGAAATCCAGCTGGGGTCAATGGAGTATTTCTTAGGAAAGAATTTGACAATTGTTTTATGCTTTCCCCCGTTTGTAAAATATGCAACTAGAGATTCATCAGAAGTATTTCTTCAGAAACATTTCTACATTTCTTCAGGTAATGAAATATCTCTTGTAGAATAGCTTATGAGCTAATAAAACACAAATTGAGGTTTGGGTTTTTATTTTTGCTTTTTTTTTAATTGGACTCCACAGGTGTGTTCCATGGATGTTTTCTGACAAAAGAAAATAATGGGAAATGGGTTAAGACATTATTTGAACTAAATCCTTACCAATAAAATAAACCTGTGCAATTTTTTTCTTTCTGTCCCTTGATCAGCACATACTAAAACTAATAAATGCAACACTGTGGACATACGGGCGATTTACATGGAAAACTGTAACGCCTTTTAAAAGCTCTTTAATACCATCTCTCATTTTACTAAAAAACAGATAGCCTTAAGAGATATGGCCTTTCCTTTTTAAAAATGTTTGTCATAAAACCTGAGAGCAGGTTTAAAACATCCCACATCAGCTAATAAAATAAAAAATATTAAGAATTCTATCCCAGATTTACTTTCTGGGTTCTTCATTTACACAAATACATTAGGAACAGGACTGGAACTAGATTTATGTTTCCAATAGAACCACTTGATCACGCTGTCTTTTTTAGTTTACAGATCCATCTATCTAAGGATTATGGAAAATGCTGCAGTTGCAGTCTCTTGTGACCATGCTCCCAGAGATGGCTAGAGTGGCTCTGCTAAAAGAGACATCAGCAGCATGTATCAGACACTTAAATTTCCCAGGCCTGAGAAAAGCCAACAGGTCTAAACATCCCCAGATTTCTTCTGCCTGTGCCATGGTGCATGGGAGATGTCAGTTTACCCTTTGTATTTAACTTACCTTCTCAGATGACAAACTCTTCTGTCTGATCTATAGAAATTATGGTACTATAAGAAGATATATATGTATCTTTTTGGAAGATGTCTGGTGCCTTGTTGGATCAA